AGTACTGTCAGAATACCGCATACTGTGGTATAATGTGTGGACTGTATGACGGTATGAAAAATGACATACTGCCCAAGCAAACACACAGTACTCTTCTGTATTGCCTTCTACATGTTGCGGTTTCATCCACCCATTCTTAAGGCTATTATGGCCCTGGTTAAACCTCATTTTGTTCTTCTAATACCTGGTAATCTGAGAACCCCCTGGTGTTTCCATGCCTAACAGTGTTAATTTAGGCTAACCACTTTGTTACACAGCATGTGACTGAAGCCTTTTTGAAATGTTTTTTTTTCCCCCTGTGACAGTTTCCTTCAGATGGATGATTTAAATGGGAGTATGGCAACAAGGAATATAAAGCTGTTTGTTTCTTAATGTTTTTTCCTGGTCTCTTTCATTGCATTTACAGTGGGGAGATCCTCTACTCTATAGCTCTGCCAAAAATGACATAGCATAGAAATACTGAAATAAACATACAAAAAACACATAGAAATGATAGTAATTAGCAATTGGTGTGCTTTGGAATGCAGGCATTTTTAACATTCTGCCCGCATGTGCTGGGGGATCTGGGCGACACCTGGGATACACAAAGAGTATACTGGGTATCATTAGGGGTATTTTTTTTTTTGGGGGGGGGGGGGTTAGGACATGATTAGCACAACACAACAGCAAAGTCAATAACTAATCACAAGCTCATGTTTTTTTTTTATTGCCCACCACCACCCCACACCACAAGCTCATGCTGAGGGGGTTGGGCACCTGTGTAGAGCATTCAGGACCATGGATTTGAATACTGTCACTGGCATTACTAAGAGTGCAACAACAGAGGCATCGCACAGAAGCAAAAAAGAGGTTTACCCAATGAAATGAAGAATGGCTTGATCATCTGAATATTCCCTTCTGTGATCCCCCAATCTTTCCCAGAGAATCAAAAACAGAAGCAGCCTTGGAAACCAATTTCCTGTCAGCTATTAGCAGTTTGGCAAGTCTTAAAAGCTGTAGGAAAATTTTGGTGTAATAATAAAAGTGAGAAGAGTAGAAACATTAGAAGAGGAAGTTGGGTTTTAGGGGGAATTTAATAGCAGAGTGCACAGTTTGACTGTTTCTGACATATTATCACACGGGATGCCTCCAGAGCAAGGCACACGCTGTACGAGACTCTAGGTGAATAATGTCAAGCCCGTGTCTGCAATTAGCAGCCGATGGAGGACTTTTGCTGGATATCTCTGAGATAAAATACGCGGTTCCCTTTGCTCTGCTGGTTCTTGTTGCCATACTCTCTTGCCCCGCTGTGACGCCTTGCTGAATGGTGAAACGTCTTCAGTTCTTCTTGTGCTTGGTATACTTTTGCTTCATTAGTGAGTGTCCATCTTGCAGCTCTCTTTGAGAAGTGGATTTATCAGCAACATGAAAAGTAGCTTTGAAAGGAAAAAAAGTCAAAGCTCACAGTTACTTCCTTCTTCTGCTCTGCTCTGCTGTGTCATGTTGCTTTTTGGGTGGAAATGCCTTTATTTGTAACATTTATTGGTTGGTACCCTTAAAAATCTGTAGTATATGGATGAACACACTGGAACTCGGGGCTGTTTGTGGGAGCTCGGAAGTGGGAAGACAGCCTGTGGTTTCACCTTTGTATGATGGGTTTTGTCCAGGCACCGGACCCCCTCCCATCAGGATCATCAGCTGCAGATGTAGGGTTCTCCTGCCCCAGCTAATAACTAGCAGGACAGCTGTGGGGTGTGTAGTGTGTGAGCAGATGAAACCTCAAACCGCTTCAGACTGAGAATAACAGGGCAGCGGGCGGAAATAGCTGCCAGGATCACCTGGCAGAACTGAGCATGGGGTGTAAAATCAGGTACAGCACACAGCACACGTGGTGTTTTGTGTAATCGTGGAAGGCTGACTGTCAGAGTTTAAAAAATAAGCTTTTTTTTCCCGTCTGACAACTATTGATGGGAATGTACAGCACATTCACCAGCATGGCAGGGTGGTTAGGTGTGTTACACTGTTACCTCGCACTTCCAGGGCTGGGGTTTTAAATCCTGTGTGTGTGTCGTCTGCATGGTCTTCTTGTATGTGTGTAGGTTTCCTCCTTCAGTGTAAGACACACGGGTAAGTGAGTTGGCACCACTAAATTGCCCATATTGTTTGAGTGATTTGTGATGGACTGGCATCCTGTCTGGAAACTAGCATGGGGCACGCCGGTCCCTCATAAGGCAAACACTATGGGCAATTTAGACGCATTTATTGCAGTACTGTGCTAGTATGTTACTCTCACACACACACTTGGCTACACTGCCAAGATGGTTATATGTGAGTCTTGGTCAGATGATGAGATAATCCCGATAAAATGTTTATTGTGTGGATGGATGTCAGCTCTACACGTCTATGGGGTTAGTGGGGTTAGATAAGCATGGGTTGGGCACTCAGACCTTGGAAAAAACAAGTTGCAGGCAGAATCTGTCCAATGTACCAGTGCGGCTTGATGGGCAGACAAATCAAAAGCTCACTGATGTAAATTGAGAGGCAGGCAGATGAGGTCCTGGGTAGGATTGGGGTGGGGTGGTCGTGCAATCTAAAAGGTTACACTGACAGGGAGAACCTGTTGGCCAATGAATATCAAGCGCGCAGAGACGTACATATTCACTTGTGTACACTGGTAGTTGTGATTTCAGTTTCCCTGACAACTTCCCTTTTGCTCATTCACATGAAATCATGCCGCATCTGCTCTGGCTTGTCCTTGTGGGAATCCGGCTGCTTCAGCAGAACCTGCAGATAACCAGGGAAAACACGACCAGCGGATCGAGAAATGCTTCTGATTTGCTTCCAAAACGTCTGGGACGTTGCGTGGAAGTTGGCCGGGCCACATTTATAGACCGGCAACATTTTTTTCTCTTCTACATCAACGACTTTTTCTTCAGTGCTGTTTTGCTCTGAAACAGGCATTGGGGAATGATTAGCATACTGAAAAACCCATTTTGCAGTTTTGTTTGGAGGAGTTCTGAATATCTAAAGCTGTCCCTGCACTTAGGATTTATTTCTTTGAATTGGACACCCAACATTCATAGTGAGGCTGTGCCTCCGAAACAAAGGTTGGAAACTGGTTATGTTTTTAAATGCAGTGTTTCCCCTACCATTATTTTAGGGGGGCACCCCGCCCCCCCAACGGCACCTCCCGCCCCCTCTTGAAGGTCAAGTTAATTTTTTTTTCTATATAGCGCCAGATCACAACAGAAGTAATTTAAGGTTACCTTTTTTATTGAACAGGTCTATACATTGTCCTTTTATTAAACAAACTAAATATGTTATTTATCTTGTTATCTATGTTAGTTATCTATGTTAAATATCTTGTTTACACAACAGCTTGACTTTTTTGTCTCTACACGGTCGCGCATTTACAATTCTCCTCTGCTCTCTGTATGGCGCATGGCGGAGTTCCGCCCCGATGCGCGCGCACAGACACATGCACGCACACACAGGTGAGCACACTCCCACCAGGGGACAGAGAGCGCGCGTCGGAAAATATGTTGCATTAACCACCTGAATTGCAGGATAATAAATACGTTTCACAATGGGATTTTCTGCTTTAAACTACCACTATTTTAAGCTATCAGCTATCACTTTTAAAGTCTAACAGTTAATGTATTTGCCGGTCAAGACAAACATTCGCAATCGGACTTTGTCAGTTGACGTCACACTCGCTATAACCGCAGTGCATTGTGGGTCAAATTGCCACAGCTGTCATTAAAAGAAACACATGAACACCATGAATCCTGTCGGTGTCCGTCTAAAAAAGCTGTAAACCTGGGGGAAACACTGAAATGTATGTAATGCATTAACATTTGAGGTGCGAGTCTCCCACAGTGCCGTCTTCAGGAATGATGGTGAACCTGACGAGAGACATTACACATACTCTAATGTTCCATTCAATCACATTTTATTATGAAGCTTCCCTGGGGTCTAGTAAATCAAAGCTCATGTGGTGTGTATGTGGGGGGGGGGGACTTTGTGTACATAGTGCTTTAATCAGTAGATTTTCTATGCTAGTTTTGTGCTCTTCTCCCCCCCCCAATCCACTCAGCATCTCACCCCATCAACTCCATACCAATAGTGGAATGCAGGACACCCACGGAGACATAAGATTTTGATTCTTCTGAGTGTCTGTCATCGTCATGGGGATAAATTCAGGGCTGGCTGCCTTGAGGGCGGGGGTCACTCTGAGGGAGGGGTTTCCATGCCAGCCTTTCCGTGAGCTCTGGGGGAGCCATGGGTAGCTGATGTGTTTGTCTGTTACTTCTGAAAGAAGATATTTCCAAATATTACTATGTACATTTTAATTGCAAAAGGATTCGAAGGGGCCATATATAAGAGTTTTTTGGCACTTTGAGATTTATTTTAAATGTAAAGTGCGTTATAAATTAAATCTATTATTATTATTATTATTATTATTATTATTATTATGATTTTTTAGTTGATTTTAGCCTTTGCATTGATTATTGGACAAGGTAATTAGCAAATCTCAATATTTGAATTTGTTTATTTCTTATTGTAATTATTTAATAAGGTGCAAATTCTAGAATTTTAGTTCTGTTTTCCACTTCTGGGGTGCTCTAGCATTTCATATTGTATTATGCTGGGGGGCAGCTTGGTGGCGCCGTTTCCTCTGGGTGCCCTGGTTTCCCCCCCACAGTCGAAAAACATGCTAAGGTGAATTGTAGTTGCCAGATTGTCCGTAGGTGTAAACTGTGTGTGAATTTTGTGTGTGCCCTGCCACGGGCTGGAGCCCGCTCCTGGGTTATTCCGTGCCTTGTTACTCTTCTTACTGAGACCGTATAGAATAAGCCATATGAAAGATGAATGAATGAATGTGCTGTGCTGCTTTGTGAGTAATTTGTGTTCCTGCTCTTTGTACATGATCTTCCACTGGATCAGTGTGATGTGATGTCACCCTATAGGGCAGTACTCGCGTGGCCTTCATTCACACCTCTGTTTTCCTCTCCCTGCAGGCTGACGGGCTTCCAGCTGCCTCCGCCCATTGTCAGCTCTGGGCCTCGGCTTACTCTGTGGCTGCTCTCAGACTACGCCGTCAGTGGGCAGGGATTCAAGGCCTACTATGAAGGTAAGCCCCGCCCCTCAGGGGTCAGAGTTCATCGCATTATGGAAAACGCATATGCGTGAGTCTGGCATGTCTTAGTAAGGCAGACAGACAGCCAGAATGGCAGATGACATTGTATGCTTAGACTTGACTTCATGGCTTCAGGAATAAGTGATGCATGCTTGATTATGAGTTATGCTCAATCACAGAAGTTTGAGTGCATGCTTATTTAAAAGTATCGTAAGGTCATTGTATGTGTGAGTGAGAGCCGACGACCCCACTGGCTTTATAGCGTCTTTGCAGGTGGTATTGTTCAGCTTGACACCTCTGAACCGCGAAGCTCTTTGAGGTGCCACGATGGGTTTATCAGCCTGCTTTTGATCAACGTGCTGCATGATACGTCAAATCATTAACTGGGATTTTTATCAGAACCTGCGACAAGTGAAAGTGACCTAAGTGGGGCTCCTTATGCGTTGAGAGTGCGTTTCGGCGGCAGATGGCCCTGCCCCTTCTGTGTAACTTTCTGCTCACCATCAATAGCTGCTCCACAGAACCACTGGAGTATCTGGAAATCATAGGGATTTTCTGCTTCTGTCGCCTTTCATCAGATGCCTAGTCTTCCCTGACTCCCACTATAAGGCCCATTATGTTTGAATGAGCACAGGCCCTGTGAATTAAGCACAATGGCTTATTTTAATGGTGTGCTTGTCTCAACACTTCTGAGGATGTGAGCAGCATGAGTCTGGGTGCAAACGTCTCTGCTAATAACTTTGCCCTGGTCCCTGATGAAGAGTGTAAAGTAAGCAGAAAGGTAGCCACCCGTGGGGCAGCAGGGCACCTTCCAGCAGGGCAGCTTGGAGATGCCGCGGTACAGCAAAGGATCCTCTGTCAGTAGGGGGCGACCTTACGGATGCTTCCTCCATTCTGCTGCAGCAGGTGTAATCAATTAAATGCCTTCCGGATCGTCACCCCTCCCTGTAATGTGCCACTTAATCCCTCCTCCGTCGGCAGGACCGAGGAGCCCTAAATGAGGGCCGGCGACCTCCCTTTACGAATTTTCAGGCCGGCTGAAATCGGGAGGGCCTGTGGAGATAATGGGAGATCAGAAGGGCGCCTGAAGTGGGACGAATCTGAGGTCGGCATGGCTCTCTGGCAGCCTCCCCGCCCCACACCTCACAAGGCCTTTGTGCCCGCGTGAGTGAAGCTGAACGGAGGTAGAGGAATGGCCCTTTGATGTCCCCACCCTCCCCCGCTGGCCTGCTTGAAGCAGCGCCGTCTGAGGCTCCCGCCGGAATCCTTGTTTTTCTGTCACCGTGCTCAGGCTCCGGCGATCTCTCCTTACTTAAATCGGAAGTGGAAGTCCGCTGGGTGAAAATGTAGCATCCAGGATGTTTGCGGCTCTGACTCCGCTGGGCAAATTGAGTATAAGCAGTTCCCAGTATTTATTATAATTTTTTTTAAGTTAATGGAATTATATTTCATATATTTTTTGCCTGAGTGGCAGTACAATTGTAGCATCAGTGTCAGGGTAGGTCATCCCCAAGCCCCCAGTGTGTCATATCCAACCTTGTACTGCGCCGAGTACAGAAATAATGGAGTCAACAGACTCCCCACCCCAGCAGTACCTCCAGCTCCTGGTCCGCTGTCTCCCCGCCGTTTTCTGGCATCATGCAGTCATATTTCACAGCAGCTGGCAAGAAATACAGTGCCGTCTGTGCGGAGGTGAGGTGCCTGGTGTAAATCAGGCAGCTTTTACTTAAGGCAGAGATCTCGTTTATGCTCCTTCGTTAGCCCAGAGCGTAGCTTCGCGTGTCATTTCCCTTTCGCTGTGTGATGGCACGCCCGCATATCAGATCGGCCAGCCTCGATCGCGTCCTTGCTTTATGAATGAATGAAGCAGTCGGCTGGGGATTGAAGCTCATGGCACGCCAAGAGTCCCACCTTTAAGATAAGAGCAACTAGCTTGGTTACCAACTTGGTATGGTGTCAGGTCCCTAACCAGTTAAAAGAGCTTGTGCTGTTAAAGCTTGGGCTGTTGGTGTGTGATCGTGTGCCTGTGATCGTAAGGTTACTGGCAGGTTCGTGCCACCGCCGGGCCCCTGAGCGAGGCCCTTAACCTCCAGCGGCCCCAGGGCCCGTCTGATCCTGCCTTCTCAAAATCTACATCACTTTAGATAAAAGTGCCTGTGAAATAGATATCATGTTGGTGTGTGCAAATGTTTCTGTGTGCACATTTACTCACCTGTTTATTTGAACTGAACAGGCCTTTATTTTTCTCACCCTGGGGGGTTGGCCGATTAATCGCCAAGCGGGGAGGGGGCCATCAGCTGTTCTTATTATATTGGTGTCCATGCGACGCTCCGTCTGCATCCCGCATACATGGGTTCCGGTGCCAGGAAGACACGGGGAACTGGGGGGGTGGGGGGTGGTCTGACTCTCCCACCCAGGCCTAGATGTAACAGAAACTTATGCGAATTCCAGCGGCTGTATAGTAGAAGACTGGCGGGGGGGGGGGGGGGGCACTTCAGTGTCAAGCTGCCTATTTGATTTGGAGCCGGGTTTGAATTGTTATTGATACAGCGTAATTGGGAAAGGTGAGATATCGAGCGCTCCCTTGTTCTACCAGCTAAGTGAAAATTTAATTGGAAACCTTCGTCACATCACTAAGGTCGCTGCGTGTGTGTGTGTGCACGTGTGTGTGTGTGTGCATGCATGTATGTGTGTGCATGCGTGTGTTTGAGTGTGTATGCGGGCACGCATATGTGTATGTGCACATGTATGCATGCACTGCGCGTGTGTGCGTGTCTGTGGGGTGGGGGTTTGGGAGAACAGGCTGCATTAGAAACATGCTGCCATTGCACATTGCTGCACTGCTGGCAATGCGGGTGCTGCCTTGCATCCAGGCCGTTTATACGCAGGGGTACAAGCTACTCTCAGCACAGCCATCTCGTTAACGGTACTCTGTCTCCTCTTCTGCGGCACCCCCGTCCCTTGCTGTTATCTCACGGCAACAGTAAGGGACTTTCCCCTGTGAGGAGAATGTTCTAGATTTGCCCGCTGTCCCCTGGCAGGGCACAGAAGGCCATCCTTATTCATCCATCAGGACCGACAGATACAGCCTATATATTCTCCACACGTTATGCAGATTAGTGTAACACCATCTGTGCTGTGCGTTTGGTCAGCACAATCGTGATAAATCTCTGTTGCTGCTCTTTATCACCTTGGACAACTTCGGACAATTGAGTAGCTATATTTGAAGTTCTTTTTTAAAAGCATGAAGTAGAAAAAGTAAGAATACACTGTGATCTTGTTTGTTAAACAGTACTGCGATAAATTAATCAATCGATATAGAGTGTCATAGTATTGATGAAAAATCATGACAACTGCAATATTGATGCAGCTGTAGTGTGCTTGTGTTTATTCTGTCTGTCATGGCTGAATAGTGGGATGAGCTAGCAGTCCATCCAGAGTGGCCCCAGCCGTGTGCCCTTTGCTTTCTGGGGTAGGTTCCAGGCTCATATCCACCCAGTACTGGATAAGCGCTTATAGAGGATGGATGTCGGCTGAGTAATAGAGGTGCTCTTCTGATGCAGTAATTCCTCTGACTGTTTGCAGGGCTCAGTTTATTAGTGCACCTGTGCCCTGCTTTGGTTTTCACTGCTTGATTGCGCCTTATGCTTTAACCCTACAATAGCAGAGCAGAATCTCTGTGGGTCAAACTTCCCTAATCAGATTCAAATAAGTAATTTCATTTGCGGTTTTAATGTGGCACAAATAGAATTAAGCCAATTTGATTCTGTAAATACAATCATCCTTTCCTATTTGGGTAATTTCAAATCCGTCTTATGATCGTCTGATATTGACTCTGGATCTGACTCATTCATTTCAGTCAATTACTTTTTTTTTGAATGATTCTTTGGTTCCCCCTGTGCAATCAGCTTAGCAGAGATGACGAGAGAGGTGTAATCAGTGTGAAAACAGCATGTGCGTGCCTGCATGTCTGTGCGTGATCACGCCCTCTTCAAGGGGACCTCGCCGTGCGCTGTTTGACCGCCAAGAGAGAAAAACAGGAAGATGCCGTTTGAGAACGTGGATAATGGAGGCAAATTATTGCTGCTGTTGTCCACCTGGAGGCACCGTCCTACACGAAGCAAGAGCGGGAACATGATCTGTATTCCCCCAAAGGTGTGCCATGGCATTGGTTAAGCTGGCCAGTCGGGTTTAATGGGAGTTCTGGTGCTCACTGGACATAGAGATGCCAATGCGAGAGGGAAAACTCAGTCAATGACTCGCTCCCGGCATGGAGCCAAACCCATTTCTTGCCCATCTAACTGCACTGGTCACCTTTGCTGGGTTTGTGTCCTTGTGCTATGGTTGTCCTTCGGGTGGCTCCCTGCTGCACAAATACACACCTAATGTTCCACCCTTATAAAATCTCCTGCTTTGGCGTGATTAATCTAGCCTGGGTCACTGACACCTTCCTTGAAGGGGGTTAAGCAGAGATGTGGGTACCTCGTCCTCAGGGACCAGTCCATGCCTTTTTAGACGGGACTAGCACTGTGGAACACAGTCCACCCCTGTGGTGCCCCCTCACCCCCCACATACACACCCCATAGCCATCTCACTTCACACAAGGGGAACGCAGAACATGAAGACACACACACACACATACACACCTTGTGACACCACTGCTACATTGGTGCACTGACCATCTTGGTAGAATCTCAGCACGGGACGGATGACCAGCACAGAACGCCGTCTCCGTTCTCTCCCTTCTGGCCTCAGCGGCATGCATGATGCAGCATGGAGGGCATTCCCGCGTCACGGAACAGAGAGGAGCTGCCGGACCTAACGCACGTACTACTCACCATGGCGAGACGGCAACGGTGCGCGGCGCAAAGCTGGAACTGAAACCCCAAAATGCGCTTAATCCCTTTAAACCGCAAAAAAACACGGTCAAATCAGACATGAAAGGAAGTGCTACCCAAGACTGCAGTCCCCAGGCTGTTGTGGACAGTAATCTG